TGCAGGGGCTGCCCGACGTGACCAGGTGAGAGGAGGGAGGCGAGGCCTGCGAGGGGCCGCGGAGCCGCGGGGCGCGGCTGCTGGTGTGCCGGGCTTGCGGGTCGGGAGCAGAGAGGCTGTTCTGCTGCTCTTTCTGTCTCTGTTAACCATGTCTGCTAAGTAAATTGATGAAAACCACGCAAGACAAAAATAATTTGGGTTAAACCCCTCTGTGAGCTTGTAACGCTTCATTTTGCTTACAACTTTAAGAACCCTTTGGGTATGCAGAAGCTTTGAGGAAAAAAAGTCACAAGTGGAGACTTTACAGAACTAGCTTAGCCCAGCAGAAGGCGTCGTGAAGTGTGAGAAGCGACATCTTTCTCAATTCACTGATGTGTGAGAGACCTAACACTCTTCTATAGTTAATTCTGATCAGAGAAATGTATGTACTAAACTAGCTTTTTCTGAAGACTGTTTTTTCTCATGTGCACTACAGGTTACTATTCTGTAGAAGCTATAGCATCTGTCTCTGTTTATTTTAAGTCTGGACTTATTTAAGAGGATATTGTTCTAAGGCTGGTGCTTCATGTCCTGCTTCTGTCCCTGGCTCACTGTTGACTTCACTTATTTTAATTTTCCCGTTCTTCCACCTCTCCCTCAAAATTGTGGGCTCATTGGTTGATTTCTTACAGAATTTTGAAGATGGGGGTACATTCTGCTCATACGCCAGCTACTTCTAACAGAACTTAAGTTCTCATAGTAACCACTCAGGGCTCCGTTACGGTGGTGGACAAGGACTGGGTCCCTCATGTTGCTGTAAACTGGGTACAGCTAGGTTTTAAAATATCTTACACGTCAAGTTCATGCAACGATCAGAGGATGGTCTCTTTCCTCTTTAAAATTCAACCTTATATATGTGCTGTTATGCTTGGTGGTTAGGTGATCACTTAATTTTGTATACCAAAATGTTTGGGGAAGTTGTTGTGAGATATGAGCTAACTAGTCATGGCATGGAGAAAATGAAGTGGGGATTTGAGGGTGTGGAGCCCTTATGAGGAACACTTCTGCTTGCCTCGTATTTTGCAGATTGACTTAATATTCAGTTTAAAACCTGGTATTTCCAATTATCCAGTGTCAAAATATGTAAGCCATTTAAGGCAAGGACTGTCTCTTTGTATGGCACCTGACATGATGGGACACCTGTTCCTGATGCAAGTAAGTGCATGTGCATTGTGTGTGTTTTGTTTTGTATTTTTCTTCCCCCCTTGTATGATGCTGCCTTGGAAGTGGTGTAGTAATACCTTTGGTGGTTTATGATTGCCCAGATGATTCCCGTTTGCTTGGATTCAGACGGCCTAATTAGTTTGTTGCTTTCAAGAATGCAGAAGTTGCTTGGTTTTGACTGTTGAAGTTTTCCCTTTCAGAGATAACTGATGCTGTCCATCCAGCCTTTCACTTATGACTAAGTGTTGCATTTAACCACGGGAAGATAAATTTTATTCTAGTTAGCTAGGATTTGTGCAGTGTTTAAAAATGAGCTTCTGAAATAAAATAATAACTGGTAAAAGCTTCTAAGAGAAGTAACTAAAGTAGGTTGCCACTTGTCCTCAGTATTTGTGTTTTACAGAAAGTAGTACTGATTGTTTTCTAATCAATACTGTGCCTCTGCTAGGGGAATTAAAGACAGAATTAGGTACTAGTGTCACCTTTACTGTGCAAACTGTAATCGTCCATTTCAAGCCACAGTGATGATGTTTACTGACTTGGATTGTCACTCTAGCCTTGCTGGTTGTATCTTGGCTTGCTTATGTCAGAGTCTAGATCACTATTGCACAAGTCTCTGGTGACAAAGGAGAGGATCTCTTGCGCGAGTCTCTCTTTTGTAGCTCCCTGAAGAAGTTTGGATCTTGAATGTTATTGATGCTAGCTATCAGACTTCTGGAACTGAGCCTGTAATTTTATTCCATGCGTTTATTATTCTAAACAGGCCAGAAGGAAAGGACTATGCGCTGCACTGGCTGGTTTTGGGAACACACACGTCCGATGAACAGAACCACCTGGTTGTTGCAAGAGTCCAGATTCCCAATGATGATCAGTTTGATACTTCGCAGTACGACAGTGAGAAAGGAGGTGGGCGTGCCTACATTCTTAGATTATGTTTTAGCAGTAGCATTACTAAGTGTTCTGTCTAATGGTATTCTAACTGTCTGTTAAATACTAAAGTTGACATATGCTTATCAGTTCACACTAATTCTGGATTATTAATTGTGACTAGAAAGAGGAAAATCCTTCTTTCAGAAGAAGTTAGGTAACATTATGATATGCAGTCCTTACTAGCATTTCTGTGAGCTGTGTCGGTTGTGGTGAAAACCGATACACATCTATCTCAAGTAGAGACTAAAGCTCTGAAAGAGTTTGTATCATAGAGGATTCAAAATATCTAAAGTGTTAATGCTGTTCTGTCACATGGTGCTAGTCTTTCGTAGGCTATTATTATATTATGATAAGATGCTTACCAGTGTTTCTTGGAATGGGGGAAGATGTCGTGAAATGCCATTTCACCTGTGTAAAATAGTTGATATGATAACTGACCTTTTTCCAACAAATTCAGAGTTTGGTGGCTTTGGATCTGTGACCGGCAAAATTGAAACGGAGATTAAAATTAACCATGAAGGTGAAGTAAACCGTGCTCGTTACATGCCACAGAATCCCTGCATCATTGCTACAAAAACACCGTCTGCTGATGTGTTGGTGTTTGACTACACGAAACATCCTTCAAAACCAGGTGGGTCAGACTCCTGGAAGTTAAGCACCATGTTGCTTGTTGTTGAGGGGTAAATTTTGTATTTAACTGGAACTGGGGGGGAGAGGTGATGGGCTCTGGAATCTGAATAAGAAGGCCCATGTCTTTGGTGACTTGAACTGCCTGGTTATGCTCAGTATCATAAGAGAATCTTTATAGAAGTAGCACTGTCCTAGAAGGCTGACGTATAAAATAGGGCTGTTGCAAGGGAAACAAAGTTCTTAGGTGATAGTGATGGTCTTATGGATTGATGTGCAAGGTGAAGCTAAATGGAAGGAATTTCTTCTCTTTCAGACCCAAGTGGAGAGTGTAGTCCTGACCTCAGACTTAGAGGGCACCAGAAGGAAGGCTATGGCTTATCATGGAACTCAAATTTGAGTGGACATCTTCTCAGTGCATCAGATGATCACGTAAAAACCACATATTTTCCCCTCTTTGAAAAAATAAAACCAAATAACCCCTCCTGATTTATGCTGTGATAGAGAGAGAAAAACTGGGTTAGTGTAGCTATATGTTGCTGTGAGGGGAAGTTCTCACATATTGTAATTATATTTCTAAAGGCTGTCAGTTGACTGCAGGCTGTCATCAACAACCAGTTCTTTGTAACGCTCCTCATGAAGTAAGAACAGAATGGTTTTATAGTTGTCTGCTGGAGGAAATTGTTGTATAACAACCCTTTAAACTGGCTTGGGTCTGAGACCATACATTAGCAAGACTCTCAAAGATCAATTTGATTAATAGCTTATAAATTTCTTTGTGGGCTTTAAAAGTGTAAATTGCTTTTGTGACCTTATAAGTAATCCTTAGGCCTTGAATTTGCAGAAAACTGATTGATAACTTAGCTTACTTCTCACAGCACATTAGGTGTTCCTTTTCAAAAACAAAGAACTGTTTCAGGAGTGTCATCTCTCTGTTTATATGTAGAATGTGATTACTTATTTATTTGAAAGATAATACAGTCGGAGTCCATGTAACAATAGAATATGTCTCTTACTTACAGACTGTGTGTTTGTGGGATGTAAGTGCTGGACCAAAAGAAGGCAAAATTGTTGATGCAAAAGCAATCTTTACTGGGCACTCTGCAGTAGTAGAAGACGTGGCGTGGCATCTGCTCCATGAATCTCTGTTTGGATCTGTGGCAGATGATCAGAAGCTTATGATGTAAGTTGGGGTTAACCAGTTTCTGGATGCTTAGTGCCTGCTGTGTGCTGTCAGTGGACCAGTCCAGAGCATTTGGATTAAAAAAAACATGAATTCTGGAATGGTCTGATGTAGCTTTTCAGTGCAATCAACTGAAGTAATGCTGCAGAATCGTTAAAATCTGCATGTCATTTAACGTGCTCGCATCATTTGAAAATAACATGTAACTAATGTAACTAGTATGTATGTCAGCTTCCTGGTGTGAACTTGTGTACAACAGACCCCAAACTCTGAAAGGTTGTGCAACAAAAGCTGTAGCTTCAGACCAGGTTTAATAATAATGTAGACTCTTAAATTAATGTGTAGTGTAAAAGAACCTCCTGTGAACACTTAGGCTTTTTCACTCTTTCTCTCTCCTCCCTGCCCCTCCCCCAAACCCTTCATTGCCGCAGTTGGGACACAAGATCTAACACCACGTCCAAGCCAAGTCATTCTGTAGATGCTCATACAGCCGAGGTCAACTGCCTGTCCTTCAATCCTTACAGCGAGTTCATTCTAGCAACTGGCTCTGCTGACAAGGTTTTTACTTGTGTATACTTTAAATTCATAAGTATTCCAGATGATAGTTCCATAGCCATTATAGTAAAAACAATTTCTTGTTACTTCTCCCAGACGGTGGCTCTGTGGGATCTTCGAAACTTAAAATTGAAACTCCATTCTTTTGAGTCTCATAAAGATGAAATTTTTCAGGTGAGTAAACTTCTCTCACAAGCTGTAGGAAAAAAAATAAATAGAAGAGCACTGACTTGGACAAGAACATGTAGATTTTCATATGGTCACCAACCACAATAAAGTAGTCTGTTAAACATTAAATAGTGAATTTTGGTTCAACAAATACAGACAGTACCACAGAGGTTCTTTTTGTCTTTCCTCACTTGACTCCGACGCAAGTAGTCAACAACTTACTGCTAAAAAGATGCTGGGAGAATGGGAGTACCTTCAGTACGGGTAGAAAGTTTCTCTGAAATCTCCTGCTGCGGAGAGGACTTGGGTTCAAGTCTAATACTGTGAGCTCTGCCTATTTAGTAGGTGCGAGTAACAGTGAATTTTAGACAATGAAGTTTTGTGATATAGTATGTCTGTAACAGTGAAATAATGTTGGCTGCTCAATTTGAGAAGTCTTTAAGAAGACTTGAAAGCACTCTGAGCTATAGGATATCTGTTGTGCTGGAAGAAACTGAAGCATTGAGTATAGCTGTTGTAAACTGGTGGCCAGGTGCTGGTGCTGGGTACTCAGGATGTGCTTTAGAATCAGTACCTGCTCCAGTCAAGTTGTTTTCTTTCAATAGGTTCACTGGTCCCCTCATAATGAAACAATCCTTGCTTCAAGTGGTACTGATCGTCGGCTTAATGTATGGGATCTGAGGTGAGGAGCATTTCCTTTCTCTCAGTATATATGAACAGATGGTAAAAAAAAAAAAAACAAAACAAAAAAAAAAACAAAACAAAAAAACAACAGACCTGCTTTACTTGGCTTTACTTTTACTTTATTTAGCCTTCCTTGGTTTGCTGAACTTGGACGTGGTCTTTCGGGGATACAGTAGAAGCAGCACACTATTCTAATGTTACTTCTCTGTGAGGATTTCTTGCCAATAGAATTGTTTCCTGTTGTCTTTAGTAATAAATAAGTGATTTCTGCCTCTGTGTGCTTCACAAGTTAGATTCTGTTTCAGTAATGACAACGCCAAACAGTTCATGTTCTCTACCTGAGGCTTATCGTTATTTGACAGTGAGAAAAAACAACAGCAAAAGTAAATACTGGCAACAAGGGCTAGGAACTGTTAAGCTAAGCTGATACAGGATACAATTTTCATTATTAATAAAAAGTATAAACTACTTTCTTACAGTAAAATTGGAGAAGAGCAGTCTGCAGAGGATGCAGAAGATGGCCCTCCTGAGCTGCTGGTACGCTTCCGTTCTGGTTTCATCTGCTGACATGCTGGATGGCACTGTGGTGCCTTAGGACTGTGCTGCTCAAACTGCAGCAGTTTGTAAATGTTTTCCCCTTCCCGGTTTTCAGTCCATTGCTCTAATCTGCAGTAGGCTTCCTCTGTTCAGTTCTAAAGGTAGTGATTTTTTTTCAAAGCTGTCCTGAACATGATTTACACATCTTTGTTGTTGAACATATTTACAGTTCAGCCAAGTGCTTGCTGGTACTCTTTTTATAATTAAATGCGTGTAAAGCCAAGGCCTCAAATTATTTGTCTTGCATTAGACCAGTTAGGTTCCGTACAGCTAACCTGACTGATGTAGAAAGGACAAAGGCTTATGTTTTTTTTGCTTCCTTAGGAAACAGACAATTAAAAATGCTTATCGTTTGGTGTCCCCATTTCCTGTGTAACTGTAGAATTGCTCCTATAGTTGTATGAGGTAACGGATAGAAAACAGGGCTGGATTTCACAGCCCACCCTTGAGTGAAGTAGCACTGTTCTGAGGACTGAGGTTCTGAGCTGGTAGTTGCTATGATGAGACGGGCTGTCATCTGAACTGCTGTCTCAGCAGTGGCATCTGTGTCCACGAGCAGTGAGTGGAAGGTGCTGTGTCACACACACACCTTCCTCACGTCTGTGCTGCGAGTCTCTAGTAGCAAGTTCTTCTGTGTGTAGTCATCAGCATGATAAATTTAACTTCCGAATCTTGGGTTTTGACAGATTGCTCGCTAGAGACGCGATGGCTTACTGAAACTTGTGGGTTTTTTAACAGTTTATTCATGGAGGACACACTGCCAAAATTTCAGACTTCAGCTGGAATCCGAATGAGCCTTGGGTGATCTGCTCGGTATCGGAGGACAACATAATGCAGATCTGGCAAATGGTGAGTGTTACACAGCGCGCAGGCTGCTCGGGAGCTCGTCGCACAAATGAAGCATGAGCTGTTTCAGCTCCCTCGGGCAGCTTGTGCCTGCTGTGGCGGGAGGGAGTCTGTAACCTGCGCTCCTTACAGCGTGCGCTCGGAGAGCAAGGCTTGAGTAAGAAAACAAAGACTAAACCAACCTGAATAAATGCAACTGGTAGCTAATTCTTGACTCCGAAGCTTGGGTGCTAGTTAATACTAAGAATAAATGTGGCAGTTGTGAACTTATATCCAGTCCTAGCCAAGATGTAACTCTTGCCCCCCTCCCCTGCATGTGGACTGCGAAGCAAGATACCTTTTGACTCTCCAGGTAGTTCAGATTATTTTACATTACAGGAACTTGATGGGTTATCTTACAAATGGGGAATAATTTAAGTTAAAATGTAACAGACTTAAAAGTGCATCACAGGTCAGGCTTTCGAGTTTTTATACCTGTTCTTTAACTTGTGTGTTCAGACTGAGCTTGAAATGGGCCGAAACAAAATGTTGATGGGAAGGCTAATGGCTAAACGGCCAGCGCTTACGCTGCTGAAATAAAACAGCGCGAGGAGGCAGCGGCTGAAGTCTGGCTGCTGTGTGCCTGTTCTGGACTTGGCTGCCCTTTGAGAAGGGGCAGGGAAAAGGTCCCTTGGAAGAGGGGACGATGTCTGTGCCTTCTTGGTACTATCAGGGTTTTTTCTGTATAAATTGTAGAAGATTGTTTAAAAATAATTGTGTGTACCAATTATAATGTCATATTTTGTGTCTCTAGGCAGAAAACATTTACAATGATGAAGAACCAGATATAGCAGCAGCTGAGCTGGAGGGTCAAGGAACATAACTTTTCTTCCTTAAGGAAATATTGGGTGTGACATAGTAATATAATTTGACTACTATATACATTTAAGGGGGGGGAGGGAAAAGCCCCTTAAAAAAAAAAATCAAAACCAAAACCAAACAAAAAAACCCAAACCGAAAACAAGCACTGGGCAGAAGCATTACATCAAAATGAGAATATTCTTAAATGGGGCACAAAAAGCTTGTGTGGTCAAGCTGTCATGGGATACCCTTGGTTATTTGGGCACTTTGAGCTATTGTATACTGTACAGCAATTAGCTTTTAGGGAAAATAAGACTGACTTAATACCTATGTCTATATTTTTAAGCAAACTTAGTGGGTTCCTGTAAATAAACTGATCAAATGCTCACTCTTCCCACAGAGGAAGTGTGCAAAAAAAATTTTTTATTAATATGTAAAAAGAGCTTTTCACTTTTACACAACACTTTTGGATTGGCTTTGCATAAATAAAATGTATTAAAATGTTTGGTGTGTTTAATGTCCACTGACATCAGTGAATGCCTTCTTGCCTGAATGCGGTTTAATTTCTGCATGGTAGTAAAGGTGCGTGGCTGTTAGTCTGCAGCTCACCCCGCAGCTGAAGGTCGAGGGGGCTGAGAGTTGCCTTGATGTGCAAAACTGGGAACCGGGACCTTGGATCCTTCACATGCAGAAGGGATCTGGAAGGAGGCCTGGGGAGAGCGTGGGGACTGGCTGTCAGATGCTGGCACAGCGGAGGTGTGAGTCTCGGGCTGCGTGGGTCAGCTGGGGTTGGGGTTTGGTTTTTGGAGTGGTGGTGGGAGTGCGGTGCTTTGACCTGTTCTTGTCTCAGGTGCTGAGGTGGTGATGCCATCTCGGAGAATTGCCATCGCCTGCCTGTGGCTGGAGCCCTCCTGGGGCTCATTTGATTAAAATGATGTGACGCAATCAGGGAGGTGTCTAAAATACATCAATAGCTGAACGAATACAAGACAAATGTACCGTTTGCTTCTAAACCTCTGGCTGTAAAATATCTCCATATTTATCATGGTTCTACAGACAAATCAGGGATCACCTTGGGAGCTGTCAGTCAGACGAATCTAAGTTGGTGTCTAACGAGTTTAAATTAAAGCCTTTAGTTACTTAAGGCAGGCCTCAATTAAATGAATTGTTGGCTGTTCTGATCTTTCTGCTCAAACTGAAAAATGACTTTGGTGATACTGAAAATGTGAAATTTTTTTTTTTTCTTTTTAATGTTGAAAATGTGACTTCCCTTGATGTGTAACTTGCTCGTGTCTGCACCTGGATTCTGACAAGTTGGTGGGCAGCGGGGCTGAGGCTGTGGCTGTGCGTGTGAAGGTGCCTGTGCTGGGTCTGGCTGCCCAGAGAAGCTGTGGCTGCCCCCTCCCTGGGAGTGTCCAAGGCCAGGTTGGATGGAGCTCTGAGCAACCTGGTCTGGTGGGAGATGTCTCTGCTCATGACAGGGGGGTTGGAACCAGATGATCTTTAGAAGGTCCCTTCCAACCCAAACCATTCTGCGATTCTATGATTCTAAGATAAATAAAAGCTAGCATAGTTAGACGAGACCGAGTTCAGCTGTTAGAAGAAAATACATTCTTCTTTCAAGAAGATGTGTCTAAACAAGAGGAAAAATGTGGATAACGGGAAACATAAAAAAAAAAAAAAAAATTGTAAAAGAGTGAAAAAAGTACCTGTGAGGAGTAACATACTAAAGGCCTGAAAGCAAGCATCTTTTCCAAGCAGATACCCTGGCCCACCTGCCAGGGAGCTGAGGCCCCAGCAGCAGCCGGCTGAAGGGCTCAGGATGCAGCTTGCGAGAGAGCTTCAGCGTATGGGAGAAACTCTTCACAAGGGAAGGGTTAAAGTCCGGCCTCAGATGTGTGTGTATGTGTGTACGTGTACATTAACAGCAGAGACTTTGCACCTAACAAAATTTTAAAAAGCACCTAAAAAGGAGGGCAAAATTCCTTAGCAATTACTGTGACATATAACCAAATCTCTGCCTACCAAAAGCTCAGAAACTGCTCAGATTTGCATAAGGAATTCAGGAAGGTGAGGGAGATCCGCGGAACCACCAACAGCAGATCTGACTCCTGCATCCGTGCGCACGCCAGGAAAGGGCAGCCTCTGCAGAGACAGCTCTCGGAGGCGAGGGAGCAAACAAGGACAGCCAGGAGGCCAGAAAATGCATTCCGCATTCCACAACACGTGGCACGGTCCTAGAAAAGGCTCAGGGGCAGGACCTACGTTGCTCAGCTTTTATGAAATGCGTATCTTCAAAAAAGTGAGTAACTTTAAATAAAAAAATTAGTACTATCTTCAGAGTCACGCAGCACATCGTATAAATACAGAACTGTAAAAATATTCTGTGCACTACCTAGAACAAAGTACACCTAAAGGAAAACTGAACTCAAAACCAGTTCTTGTAAGTCTGGAGAAGTCACCAAATGTTAGGGAGTACGCCAAAACAGGCAAACAGAACACTCAGCGTTGTTAGGGAACGTGGAGAGAACTGTACATTAACAACAAATGACCCCAGGTTCGTACGACAGAACGGGGAGCACTTGATGAACCAGACAACACAACTTTCAGCAGAAAACCCCCCATTCTTCACGCTGCACCCAACCCAATGACAGAAGCGAACCCGCTGGTGGTGGAGGGCAGAGGCGGAGGGGCCGACCCTGCTCTGCTGCCCGCGACACCAAGCCCCTGACGCAGCCCGGCTGGAGCACCCTTCTCAGGGCGTTTTGCTTCAACACCACGCTCAAACTCCAATTTCACATCTTTTAATTCTCACTCTTGAGCTTGCCAACAGGTACAACGAGTTCAGCAGATCCAGTCAGAAGACACGAGTGTGTTAAAGAAAAACTCAGAGTCCAATATATTAAGCATACTTATTTACTTAATCTATACAGAGTCGAGTAGATAAAATTTCGGATTCACATTAGTGAAAAATCTCTACAAAATGTTTTTGAAAAGCAAAACAAAGACTGCCTGTTCATTTATCATTTTTCCTCATGAAAGCAGACATGGGTTGTAAAAATAAAGCAGTGTGTTTAGCACAAACTAGATTTCTGCATCACTTTTTTCACAGTTATTTCCATCTACAGTCCAAAGAGGTAGATTTTCTGCAACACCTGAGAATTGAACTGTAACGTAACCAGGTGTAATGAAAGGAAGGACAAAACATTATAGAGATATTGTGTACATGTACACGTATTTGGGTCTCACATCAGGTATAATTTAGCTTGTTGCAGCTTGATCATGGTGAAACTGTCAATCAGGCCCCAGAGTTCTGACAATTCGACATACTTATTATTTCGGCTACGTCAGTTTCCAGCCCAGGTTAAACAGTTTATGGTAGTGGGAGAAAGGCATTAATACAAATTTACTTTAAAACCCTACTGGAGCCAATTTGGCTGCAGACTGGCAGTGCAAGAGCCTGCTGTATGGCAGATCAGTTAGAGTACGGAGCTTATCCCTTACATAAATTCGTATTTTTATTTTTTTTATATTTTTTTAAACAACACACTTCAGCAGTGCATGAAACTGTATTGACCGGTTTCAGGAAGCAAAGCATAGCTCACCTTGGCCAGATAAGTTGATATGATACGGGTATGTTACGGGCAGGAAAGAGAAGAGATATCCCCATTTTAAAAGCCTTTCACTCAGGGTGTTCCGCTTCATTTCCATATTAAGTCAGTAACAAATACATTTGTATTGCTGTTCTGTACATCTGTCATGTCTCTAAAAGCCCTTTAAAATATTCTTGCAGCAGGGTCCAAAAACTCACTCTTGCCTCCATATAGAACAAGCACTACAGAAAGAATTGTTAACGATACAAATGACCAAATAATAAATTGTAAAAATAGAAAACTGTGGGTCCTACCTTGCCAAGGGTATGATGCATCAGGTACAAAGTTTTCCACTTTTTCTCAGGAAAATGACTTCGTGCTTAATGTTAGCTGAAAACCAGTTCTTGCAACAACGATTTTTTTTAAACAGTTTGACTCTACAAAGCAAGTCATTCGACAAGCAAGTCTGAAACACTTCTTTCCAGTATTTTTATGCCCTATGGTTAGCACGATTAACGTTTCAAAGCTCTGAGTCTAACCCGACTGACTGCTCATCGCTACCTTCTTTCCATTCCTGCACTGTGCTCGGACCACAAACAGAAAACCCGCACAGATCATGGAGGAGGACGGCCAGCTTCCCATTTGCTCCACCATTTAAGAAATATCAGTTTTGCACAGTTCCTCTCAGTGGTATGAGCTAAAACACATCTATCAGGCCTTACATAACCCTACTCTCTTTCAGAGACAGCTACATTATCTCAACGTACGTTACTACAGGAAAAGGACCAGGAGCTCAGTGCAGCCTGAACATTCAAGTAATTTCGCCACTGAACTGCCAAGGGCAACGAGGGTGGGAAGCTCACCGAGAGATGTGCTCGATTCAGAAATCCCCTCCCAAGTAAGTGCAAAGAACTATCAGTACCAGAAAAGGCTACACATGTTTGTATTTTATCTCAAAACGACAGCAACCAAGACTAGAAAGTAAATACGTGGGAACTAAAGTTAAGGGGAGCTTGCGATTATTTCACGCATTGTCTTGCCAGAAAATAAATGTTTGTCCTAGTTTCTCTCAGGAAAAGAAGTCAAAGTTAATAAGGGAGCTTTGCTTGTGGTATGTCAGTGTAAGAATCTAAGTACCATCTTTACCAGATAACCGAACTGGGAAGGCACTCTGCCAACTGATACAACTTCGAGGTTGAGCGCGCAAGAAATTCCACGCTGTACTTCAGGAAAAGTATTTGAATCTACATGCTCAATTATAACCAGCTTACGCATAACTAACAAATACATTGCATACCAGGCTATGAGAGAAAGCCTATACACCACAGACTCGTGCCTTCCACACCTATGGCAGTAAAGGTCTATTTTCCAGCCCTTCAGATAATCCAGAGATTCGTCTCGGCAGCAGTGGACTTCGCTAGTTGGGATCACCACGTGATGGACACACTGCAGCTAAGAGGGAGGCACGCGACCAACACCCGTGCAATAGGCTACACAACTGCAAAATTCCACGCAGTAACGTCACCGCACGTTTTCTCACACATTTCTATTTAACATGTTCACAGGTACAGCAAATAGTCCAACTAACCTTTACAACACAACCCTGAGAAGTCTGCAGAAAGTTGTACACCCTGTTTCACCAGCTGCAAATTAATGGATTTCAAAGCTGTTTTTTCATACCACAAAGTACATAAAACCCTTTAAATGTGTCTTCTACTATATTCCGGACCTTTACTTTTTCATTCATATATATGAAAAACGTACTAGAGGGGAAAGCTGACATTTTTTACTGGCCATGAGACATCCTTATGTAGACAAATTTACTGGAAAAATTGGTAGTCTTTAGTATACTGACTGGCAAACCAATGAACGAAACCAGAATGCTGTTCTTTCAACCAAAAAAGTGACACGCTGTCACTGTTTTCCCTGGAACGATGTTGTATCTGTACACGGTCTTCCATGACAGTGATTTGTGTTGTGGGGAGGAAACGCACATGCATCCTTTTATGGAAAAATATTTTCTTTTAAAAAATGAGGCAGATGTGCAACACAGTTGTGGAAAATTTATAGTTTAAGCTATTTAAAGCTGCTATGCAGCTTTCTGTACCACATAAGTCCAGTAGTTCTAAGAAAATACAGATATGGTAGAAAAAGTAAGAAAATTTTCACCACAAAACCAAATAGTTACCACCAACAGAGAAAGTTATACACAAAATATATCTCTCAATACAGTGTTTACACTTCATTTTAGTCTACAGATTCAGTGCCAGGAACAGGACTTGTTGAGACAGTCTTTTCGGAACTATTTCCCGCACGTGATTCCACATCGGGCTGGATTCCTGGTTCCGTGTCAGTGGGAGTTCCCAGCTCCTCGTGGGAATTGAGCGTGCAGGACTGCAACACCTGCACAGCTAGATCCACATCTGCTTCTCGGAGAGAAACCTGCTCTTTAAGGACCTCCACCTTCTCATTCAGCTCGTTCCTTTCTGTCTGAAGGGCCCTGCATAGCTTCTCCAAACGCTCCAGTTTTATTTGAAAGCCCTTGTATTCTTTATCTCTTACTGTTTTCTGAAGGACAAAAGAAAAGAAAAGCTCTGCGATCCGACTGTTTGGGTTTTTTTCCTTCAATTAATGAAAAGAATCACCACTATTTAATCCTGAAAACTAAGTCTTAATCTAGTAGGTCAAGTTCCAGCTGCACTACAGCAGATTTGCTCAGCATACTTGACCACTACGCTTCAGATGGTTTGTCTAAGCTGGAGTGGCAACAGACACCTTTAGAATCAAGCAATGAGAACTACGTAACTACATAATGCTAACTGTAATTGAGGGCTGAGTATCAGTGAGGATCCTGATATGAGGCCCCATAAGGCAGTCAGCTACAACCCAAATAATGGCAACTACAGGGAACAGAAGGGCATACAAGTGGGAAATCTAAGATCCAGCAGCAGAATCCAGGTCAGAAGGTACCATAATCCTGGCTCTCTGAACTAGCTCTTTAAAAGAACAGAGAAAGGTAAGCAGCAGGAGTAGGGAGGTGATCATCCCCCTGCGCTCACCACTGGTGAGGCTGCACCTCGAGTACTGTGTTCAGTTTTGGGCCCCTCACTACAAGAAGGACAGTGAGGTGCTGGAGCGTGTCCAGAGAAGGACGAGGCTGGTAAAGTGCCTGGAGAACAAGTCTTATGAGGAGCGACTGAAGGAACTGGGGCTGTTTAGTCTGGAGAAGAGGAGGCTAAGGGGAGACCTTATCGCTCTCTACAGCTACCTGAAAGGAGGTTGTAGTGAGGCAGGTGTTGGTCTTCTCCCAGGTAACTAGCAATAGGACAAGAGGCAATGGCCTCAACTTGCACCAGGGGAGATTTAGATTGGATATTATGAGAAATGTCTTTACTGAAAGAGTAAACTCTAGTTTAGCCATACTGGTGCTTAAAAGATAATTACCTCCTCAGCCATTTGCAGAAGAGCCTTGTTGTTGTTCTCCCATTTTGTACGCCACACTATGGTTTCCTTTTCAAGTTTCTTAATCTTCTTTGTCATCTACAAAAGATAAATAAAAGACGTAATTTTGTGGATCGCGTTGCAACGTAAGTAGGTTTACATGAGTAATTCAACTTCTTCATGTTACTTTCCAAGTCCAGTTTGAAAAAGTTTTTTTACAGAGAAGTCTACAAAACCAACCCCACAAATACAGATTCTGCATTCAGAGAAAACAAGATTGATTCTTAAAAGCAACAGACTAGCAACCTTCAAGTACAACTAATAAAAACTTCCAGGAAAATAAGTTTTAAAACATACATCCAGCCAAAAAAGACTGAAATTTGTTGTATGCCTTTGATAAAAAATTGACGCTGGGATTTAGATCTTATGCAAGTACGTAAAAAAAACCCAGAAAAAGTTACATTTCTTTCTACAACTTGACAAATTCTTACGACCTACCTTATGATCCAAATTAAATGTCAAAATACCCCATATATTTTCAGAAGGCAAACACTGTTAAAAAAATCTAAAATGCATCTCACTAAAAGCCAGCATTTTTAAAATTGCTTTTTATGAAACCAAGTAATCCTGTAAGTACCTTCTCCATTTCTTGCCTGAAGGTTGTAAAGAGTTCATTACTTTTTGCCATGGTGGTCTGGAATTCTTCAAACTTATCCATGTAAAGAGAAAGCTGTTGAGAAAGAGGCAGGAACATTAATCTGAACAGCTGTACACAAATAAAAAAATATTAAGGTACAAGTGAAAAAATATAAATATTAAAAGATCAATTACTTTTTATCTTTTTCTAATATTATCCTATAATATACATTTGAGGAGTATGCAGAACTTTTCTGAAAACTTGCTATTCAAATTATGTATGAAAGGAGAGTTCTATGTTTATAGAACAGCAATACATTCTAAAAAAATAAAATACATTCTAGGGGAAAAATGTGTGTAAAAAGGGAGCCATGGAGCTGAGGCCCCAGCAGCAGCCGGCTGAAGGGCTCAGGATGCAGCTTGTGAGAGAGCTTCAGCGTATGGGAGAAACTCTTCACAAGGGAAGGGTTAAAGTCCAGCCTCAGATGTGTGTGTATGTGTGCAGTGACGTTAGCTGAACCTACTATTTCCCTTTGCCTTACGTGCTGAGCTCACGTGTGGCCTATGACTGCAGGTGATCCAGAACCACAGCACAAAAACTGGAGACCACCTCTCCACCCTCAGAGAGGATTTTTCTGTAGCATTTACAGCAAGAAAACAATTGGAAGATAGTAATTTTTTTTTTCAGAGACACTCAGTTTTACATTACTAAACCCAAACAACTGCAAGGATAAACGTGACATTGCTTGCTCCCAATCCTCTACGAAAAGACAGGATGAAAACAGTAAGGAACAAATCCTAAAACCTGCATGGGCAAAATTCCCCACCCTACTCTTTATAGCCACAAGGGCCTCTCTGGTCCTAAACAGCTATAAAAAAAAACATTAAAATACCTTTGGAAGAGAGAACAACAATTTCAGAGAAGCCAAGGAATGGTAAAGGAGCAGCCACAATGAATATTTTCTTAAGCTTTCATATATTCTAGTCTTTGTAATATTAAGGTTATTAATTTAAAAGGATACTAACTCCAGCAATTCAGTGCTCAGAACCTTCCAGTAACAGTACTCTCCAGATGTACTAAACGGCAAGTACAAAATGTCAAGTCTTTACAATTTATACTTCACACTTGAAGAGTTACCTACCAGAAAGTTAAATTTAAGACTTAATTAAAAAAATACCAAGTACTTTTCACAAACAGTATATTGCGTCTGATGAATCATAACACGTAGGTTTTTTTCATATGTTGTTATATTCAGTACAGTAACAAATCTCTTGGGTTTTTTTTTTTGTTTCTGTTTGGGGTTTTTTTGGGTTTTTTTTTTTTCTTCTTCTTTTTTTCTTCTTCAGAACAATTGTTACTGAAGAGTGCTCTCTTAAAAAAACCATACCTGCTGTTTCAGCTGAGCTTCCTGTTGCTTCATCTGTTCACATTTGTGTCTGGACTCAGTAGCTTCTTTTAGCAGCTGAAAAACAAATGCAAAAAGCCACATAATGTCTGAAGCACTCCTAAGAATGGCTTAACGAACCTGACCTGTGATGAAAAACGAACAAAGGGTAACATCACCTAAGGGCCAGTCAACCATGTTTTCTCACATGGGTTTTTCATTACTGTACTATACTTTCATATATACGACTTAAAGCATGTGCTCGCATGCAGAAATTATTTTTTACTGAGACGTTTTTCTAACTGGTAGCACAAGTCAATGTTTCTATTTCTGTAGCAAGTTTGAACTGCTGAATTCATATGAGTAGTACATTAATGAACTGTACGTTGTTTATAACTGTTTTGTAACCTTTAATTCATTTTCCACCTCCATTTCTCCAGTCACTAATATTACCTTTATGGACTAGTTCAAGTTTGCTTCAACTTGATGCCATTTTGTAGATTCATCTTTGAAGACATTTTCATCATCTTGTGATTCCAAAATTATGTTTTATTAATATAGAACAACCCAGCACTGGATGTTAATTTTAAGATTACACAGGAAAAGCAAGGCTTTTGCTTAGAAGTTGACAGATACATAAGGATCATTAAAAAAAAAAATCTTCACCCGAGTATTATTTTTTAATTGGAAGCTACCTTCTTGGAAGACTGCAAGTAAATTGCTGATCATCAACACACAAATAAAACATCAGGCATAGCTCTGGGGACAGACAGTTCAGAAGAACACAGGCTTTATTCTGCATTTGTTACTTCTTATAGCATGAAAACAGACCAACCACAAGACAGCAAGAAAGTAAGTGCTTTTGGTATTTCAGCTCGAGACATTTCCCAGTCTAAGAAAAATCTAAATAATAACCAGCACATTTGCTGGGAAAATGCAAACAGCAACACTACTTGCCTGTGAACACAGACATCAACACTGTAGGTATCATACACACATGCACAAAACGTAAATCTCAGTCTTAATGTTGAAATCTATCCTAACTTTCCAAAGATAGTCCCTTCAGTTTGCTGTATTTGCTTTAAATAATGAAGAATCTAGTTTGGTGGGTTTTGTTAGTTCTCTTAACATACACAGAATTCACTTACAAACTCCCTTTCTCGCTGATGTTTTTCCTCTGCTTCTTTAATAAGTTGGGTCGTTTGCTGAAGTTTGGCATCCACAAGTTGCTGCTGCAGTTCTTTATGTTTGAACACTTTATCAATGTGCTAAAAGAAGAAAGAAAATCCTATTAGTCAAATATAAACAGTGCACTGGTCAAATAAGTATGTGTACATGTATGGGGAGATGCATATTGTTTAGAAGTTTCATGCAAAATAAAAAGCAGTAAGACTGTTTTACACGCTTTTTTTCTCCCGTTACTGCCATACATTACAGCTACACTTTTTTTGTCTTTCATGGAAACCAAATGCATATTTTATTAAATTGGTACAATACTGTCCGTCACTTCACACCAGGCATTACATAAATCCTGTAACAAGTAGTCTACATCCTTTCTTCCAAAATTGGTGTGTCTACCTCTAATCCTAAACATATTTTGTCATCTCTAAAAGCTCTAGTCCTCATAATGAAAAAAGCTCAAAATCAGCCAAGTTTGCAACAATAGTTTATTTGGCTGACGAAATTTCGCAAGTCATTGAATTCTGCAGTCTTACTTCCATCTGCAGGAAGTTTCCTACATTTTCTCTTCCCCAAATTATCTCATGGTAAATACAAATACCCCATGAGTGCAAAAGGTGGGGAACTACAAACAGCTTTCTAACTGATTCAGATTAAAAAAAAAATAACAAAACCAGTTGAGAAATTCTATTCCAAACCTCCTATGCCAACTAAGAACTAACTAATATTAGCTGTAGAACTCCTTGAAGCTTACTGTTCTCTTTGACAAGTAGTAGTTTTCCACTACTGTAGCTTAGACTCACTAGCTCACATATTGGTGCCAACTAAAGCTAGCTCTGTTAGCCCTGAAATACAGTAATTTCCATAACACCAGTCCAAAAATATTCTTAAAGCATGGTAGCTTATTTTGATTGTATGCCAACAAGAAGAGCTACATACACAACGGAGCTTGCCAAAACCTCTCAACCTTAATGAGCCAAAGCAACTAAGACGGAATAAATCTTCTACCCCCTCCCATTATAACGTGAAATTATAGTACAGAAGAACCTCAAATATTAATACATATCTATGTTGGAAATAACTTTTGGAAGCCATTTAGGCCACTCAAACCAGTGTCAACTTCAAAGTCCGATCGGGCTGCTCACACAGTGCCCAGCTGAGTTACGAATACCTCTAAAGACAACAGATTCCACGATCTCTGGACAACTTCTTTCTATTTGATCACTTGCACTGTGAAAGATTTTTTCAATGCATCTTGAATTTAGATATGCAAAACCAGACAGTAAAGGCAGATAGTGTGCCAAATGGCTCCTTAATTTATCACAGTAGTGAAGTAAAAAGAATAATTTAAAATATATACACGACGGCTGTAAAGTGTTAGGTTTCCTTCTCCCCTTTAAATTGTTATCCAATCCCTTCAGTCAAGGAACTAACAGATTCCCATTAGAAGCATAATGTAAGCACCTCTTCTCGCAATGCGTACTGCTCAATGAGCTTCTTCAGTTTTTCCCCCAGTTCAACGTTTTCCTGACGGAGCTTGGCATTATGTATACCATGCTGTTCCAGTTGAGCCTGAATTTCATTCAGCGTAATCTGGAAGTGTGCAGTTGCTTCTTTCCGTCTTTCTTCTTCTTCACGCGCTTGCTGCATGTTTTCTTCCTTTTACAAGAGAATATTAACGTGTTCAAGCCAAACCACGCACCTTTTTAATATTTTCTGAGTAAGAAACAATGGTAATAATTCACTTGTGGACAGTTTCAAGTTCTAGACTGCTAGAGTTAATATAGGCCACAATCATAGTATGCTATGCTGACTACCCATGAGGTGCATGGAGGGAAGAACCTAGAAATTCCAAAACTTCTAGAGGATCTTGTCCTTACCACTACTTCCTACATTACTCAGAGGCTGGTATTGTAAGATGCCACACGAATACCTTTGCAAGTATAAGAATTACCCAGATGTCAAAACTAGCACTGATTCTATAATGAGATTTCCTACAGTGGTCACAGATAAGAACCTCTTTGCTCTCCTCCATTTCACTCCCATCCATTATATTGACAGAATTAAGCCCTTTTTGATACCCTGCCATTTCATGCTGCTGTTGTTTCACTTGCTATTTTTTCCAGCAGCGCTGCTCCCAGAAACAAATATGGCAAGATCACATACTGCCAGTACTATGATCTATGAACCAGTTTGAGTGGGAAAAAATTAGTGAGTTGAACTATCCCCATATTCTTTACCTTAAAATCAGGTACACTTACGACACATGCCACTCCTGTTCTGCAGGTACAGGTAACTGGCAAAGTGGTAAGTAAAAAAAAAGCAGCAGTTGAGATTTTCAGCAGTAATCAGTAAGATTTCCACCACCACTGGCACTGTTACTTGATAAATAAACTAACCTTCAAGGTCTTGTTATGACGCTGAAGCTCCCGACAGAGAGATTCCAGTTTGCTACGTGCCAAAATGGCCTTGCTATGCTCACTTTGCAAGTGGACTTTCTCCTTCACAACCTGTGCTTGCTTCTTCTGCAGTATCTTCATCTGCTTTTGAACATTCCGGCTCTCCTCCAACTAACATTAGAGAATACATTTATTAAATAAACATAGGTGAAACTATCTGTATGCATCTAGATGAGCAGACTGAACAAATTTTTAAACAATCCAGATGAAAGCAAGGAAGTAAAATAATTTCAGTAAGACCCCCAAGTTGATCTTAAAGAGAAACTCCCATCATCCTACAGACAATTCTAAATGTGTAAGGAGAGAAGACAAAAATACACAAATTCCACCTTAACAAACATTTGCCTTTGAGGAACAGGGACCACGGACCTGCTGACCATGGGCTATAAGCTTGCATTCAGCTACAGAGGTAGGACTAGCCCTGAGAAAGGAGGATGTGACAGATACAACTGAAAGCCAATTAAAACTGGCTTTTCAACAAGTCACAACCTTTTCTACTCTCTTCTCTGTAAGGTACACACAACTGCTTATCCAACAGGTCTTGTTCTTACTATCAAAAAGGAAAACCCACTGAACTGCATACAGAGTTCTTTCTTGTCAGCAGGAGCTCCTACCAAAGGAAGCAGTAATTGATACAAGTTTGTAAAATGCTAAGGTATTTCAGAAAGGAACAGATAAAACCAGCAGCCCCAACAAATCAAGTAAAATACTGTTAAAGCTGCACAGCCCAGACTTTGATGACTTAAGAGATCTGTACTCTCAACCACTTGAAACAATGATTCTGTCTCCTTTAGGCTACTTAGATGGTAGATGACAGCGTTAAACTTTGTACACAGTGCTGGCTTCAAACTCTATTCTATGAACACCCACTGAATGATGTTTCTTGCATTATCTAGTTAAGTTCCATTACACATGATTTTTGGGCTCCCCAAGAAACCATATTATTTAGAGTCTGTTCTATTGTAAAGAAAGTAACAATATTAAGTGTAACACTGCTCCTTATTAGATAGTGCCTCAGCCTCGGGACACCACAGGAAAAGGCAGCTGGCAACAAGCAACATCACCATGACTGAGAAGAATACAATGCTGGTTTTCTGAAAGAGCTCAAAATAATGCTGAAGCACAGAAAGAAGAATAAAGTTAAGAACCTCCATGACAAGAATACCTTAAATGTACGTTTAATCTAGTTTAGAGAAAATGAATGCTAAGGAAATGTTTTTATATCCAAACATAAAAAGCCCTTTTCTTGGGTGGCCAGAAAAAACACTTCAAGTGGCTATGCTGTTTGCACACCTATCAAACTTCAGGTCTGTAAAAGTATGCCACTGTGAGACAACCTTCCTGCATCGCAAACTGATCTCCTGATAAGATTCCAAACTAGGAAAAAAAAAATTGTGGAAGATCTTTCGCCAGGAGAGAGACATTCCTACCTTTATTGTACAGTCCTTTTCATGAGACACCACTGAAAAACCTGACAGTGAGCTTTAAAGATGATGAATCTTTAAAAAAAGAAAAAAAGCATTGTAGGTGCACTGTCATAAACAGTTGAAACCTCTGCTGGCATTAAAGCTGACACCTATGCCAGTGGTTCACCACCACTACCATGAAGAAAAGAACGCATCTTAAAGGGAACACAACCATATCCAACCTAAACTTTTAAAGGCGAACAGAGTACCTCTAAGACTCATCCAGCTAAACCAGAGCTACTGCTACACCCAGCCAAGCTCCCACCCAACTTCCCAGCAGTTCTGTGCATTATGGGGAAAGCAACTGGTTTTGTAGGATGGTGGCTATGGACTGTCAATGCTTTCTGTACCTACAGACTATTCATTCTCTCCCGGGAGGGGAAAAAAACACAACGTGACCACGTCTCTCCTGATTACCAAGCTTCCTGAAGGAAATTACAATTCATTTGGTCTAGCTGTTCCCTAATTGTTTTGAGATCTTTATTTCAACAACAAAACTCAAAGTGAAGATGGTGCAGACTGTTCTCTTTCTGCAGAAGCGAGGAACTCATGCCAACCTAGCTCCTCATGCAGGCCATCACCATCACCACTGTGATTTGACATGGGAGCCATGTGCTCAGATAGAAAAGGCATCACATGCACAAGCAATTTCTCGTAAGAATTAACTCATTTACTGCATTTTTCTCCCCCAGTATCAGAGCTCATTTTGAGGCAGGCTCCCCATCCTTGAGTTGCACTATGGAAGTATTACTGTTTCTCATTTAAATGAAAGTGACTTCTTAGAGGAGCTGCTGGTTTTCAAGGAAATTCACTCGTGAACAAGAGTATGCATGTGACAGAGCAAGGAAAACAAAGCAAAAATGTAACAGGCCTCTAAGGAGGATTTGGGATTTCCTAAACAGAACTAATCTAAGTCTATTCTTAAGTAACCAGCATTGCCTCTGAGAGTAAAAAGACTACCCCCTAGCTCGTCCTCAAAGGTCTGGAGACACTATTAATGTCAAAGGAAAAATAAATTTATTTCAGAAGAGTTATGTCATGTTGCGCAGCCATTACGACATTTCATTTTCATATATAATATACTTGAGATCCACAGAAGGCAAATCGCATGCTTTTTTCAAGCTACTAAGTTCTCTTTAGTTTTGCATTATTTTTATATCTACAAATATGCTGGGAAAACATATACACATAGCATTTGCAGTCTTTCCATCCTTATCTGTCTGTCCCTGTCTCGATGAACAAGTGAAGCATTTTTGTTTTCAGGCACATTCTAAAAAGTTAACTTATGAGCCTTCCCCCTCCACACCACCATCTCACCCCTGCAAGTTTTGCTGTCAATTAATTTAGAAAATAAATAATCATTTCTCCTACTTCGGGTGGGAATACACTTTATGATCAATTACTGCTAAAATTTGCCTTTTTGGTTTGTTGCTGAAGATATGTATACTTCTCTATCCACTCCTTTGCATGATCAGTAAGCACAAAGCAAAACTAAACTAGATCTTTCGAACTTCCCCTATCCTCCAAACATCACTAAAGAGTTAAGTATAACAACTTTTTTTCCAAATCTCATTATCACAGCATGTTCTTTCCCTTTATCCTAAAGGGTATAAATTATAAAATGCTAGCACAAAAGCATTATCAACAGACAAAACCTAAGAAAATAATTAGTCCCAAAAGAAACCCTTAGCTTTTCTGTTAATCCTAATGTTATGCTTCAGCACCAAGTCATCAAAAAGTTATCACAACCTATTTTTCCTTTGGATTTAGGCAGTCATGTAGAAACGAAATGGCTACATGCAAGTTTGGCTGAAGCAGTACTCATAATAAGCCTGAGTATTCTTTTTTTTTGTCCTCCCTACCAACACTGTGAAACATTCAAAATTGTTAACTGTCCTGTATTAGAAGTTCCTGCATTCCACAGTTAATATTAACACATGAATAACTCCTGCTATCTTTACAAATTACTTACCAGATCAGCATATTTCTTGCACAAAGCTGCCAGCTTTTCCTCTGGAGTAGAAAGTGTGTTCAAGGCTTGCATTAATAATAGCACTTCTTTTCCTATGCATTGGATGAAAGACAACCATGTTGAGAAAGAACACACCAGCAAAGCAGCCTGCCTTTAGAAGTACAATATAGAACCATGAGAAATTAGCGCGAGTTAGGTTGTTCGCTGGTCTGACAGCTGCTTAATCCGAATGGATGACAAATGGGAAGTCATCACAGTAGGAATAAATTTGCCTTGCCTATGTACCATTACACAACCTGGATAGTAAATGTTACTTTAATATTAAAACCACAATAACATTTTTGTTTTATAATAGCACAGATGAAAATAAAAATCTGAGAGAGTGAAATTTAAAAGGTTAAGTTTTGCTAATAAAGGATATTCACACAAGTATTTTTAATAAGCCTTTGGAATTTAAATGTCAGCAGTGCTTTGGTAGCATCGAACACCACAATCCCAAATTTAAAAGTTAATCCAAGAACCAGAAAGTTAAAAAAGCTTATTAGTGATTATTACATTATTATTAAAGTTCCTGTAAAAATAGTGTTACCAGCAGAAGGATTCTTACATATGCATTAAGAACTGTCTTTTCCTAAGCAGGAAGTACACATTTTCTCAGAATATCCTGTTAAAGATGACAAGTTTTGGCTACAAAGTAAACTTGAGACAAAGACAGAGAAAATGCATAGCTATTTTATGAAAACAAAGCCATTTAAAAATCAAAATGCCAAAGAGAACATACCCAATGTTTTCTCTTTGTGTTTTTCACTCTCTGGATCTTGCTGGCCGTCAGGTGGATCACTACGGGCTTCTTCTCTCCCAGGAGTCTCCTCACGAGACTCCTGAGAGCAGCACGTGGACCCCAGATGCTTTCTGTTCTTCGTGATATACTCAGCGTCTTCCAGTGCGCCCCTCTTTTCCAGGTCGTAGCAGTTGGACTGCGCATGCTGCAATGCTGTATCAGACAATTCATTGCACCTGCTGTTCACCAGCTGATCCTGGTTATTCATTCCCATCTCCAGAGATCCAGCTTCTTCCATTGCGCCACCAACCAACTTCAGAAGGGAAAGGAAGAAATGGAAGGAAACAGTCAAGCAACTGTATTTAAAATGAAAACTTCCACATTTCTCTTGTATAGACAAATAAGAGTAAAATTTCACCGTTATTCAAGTTGATCCTCACTGTTGTTAAGACAGGTGTATACATAACTGTACACAGAATGAGCCTAAAGAGTGACGAAGCATACGACAGCCCAAAATATTAGTTACTCTATTAAGAAACAACTTCGATACCTTGTCATTGCAAAAATGTTTATACACCAGAAATTAAAAGTTCACATGGAAATCTGTTTTTAAAGCTCCAAAACTAACTGGCTATCATCTCAGCTGTTACAGCACACTATTTTCAATGAAAATATTTCTCCCTCATTCTTAAAAAAATCTCTCACAAATCAACACTAAGCATACTAAATCTATAACAAAGCCAGAGTTTAACTAGTTTTATGCACCGTTACTTGAATAATAAGGTACAAAAATTGAGACAGGAGGACATCTTTATTAAAAACAACTTTACTACATATTAGTTTTAGAAAACTGGAAGGTATCAGTTTTGGAATAATTCAAGAGACATATTGCAAGAAGGGGGTGGGGGGAATTAACCTGCTAGGAAGTCTAAAGAAATCCACAGAAGTACACTGTTTTGATAACTTACATAGGTTAAGAGTTTAAACTACTTCAATCAGAATGCGAAATATGATTGTCAGCACACAACTGGAGAAAATCTGTTGTTATAACAAGTATAATAAACAGGACAAGGAGCACATCCATTTTTGAATTGTTAAAATTCACATTTATGAAAAAAAAAAAAACCATCATCAAAAAAGTGACTATTAACTGGTTTCAGATTTGGAGTCCTACTACCTATGATTTTTAACAGTACATTATTCCTGGTAAATTAAACAGAACTTTCTCGAAAGATTTCCTAACCCCAAAATGTTTAACCATTTAACCAAAAAGTTAAACATCACCAGTTGTTTTAACACTGCAGTGGTATGTCCATATTTTGGAGCAGAACACCTGACGGTACCACTCTACACCTTATTAAGCAGCTACCAGACTCCTCTCTCAATCACCAAAACAACATTCTCAATTTCTAGAAACATTTCAGGCTGATGAGAACTTCAAAAGTGTTTGGCTGGGTGTTTTTTTTTTGGAGGGGGATGGACGAAAGGGGAAACTTGTGGGTTTAGATAAAGAGAGTTTAGTAAGACAACAAAGGAAATACTACTGCTACTGATGAATATGCAAAATAAGCTATATACAATGTGGATACATAGTTAAAAGTATGATAAGCAGAGTTGAACACACTTTACCAGCAAAGTGATCATTCTCATTTACTTTGACTGAAAATAAACCAATTTCCTTAAAAAGTCACAAGGAATTACAAGAACAGGGCTTGTTTATATACAGAGTTATGCTGTTTAAGCATAAATTGATTTCAGATTATCTTATGTTTTAATATTAAAAATGCGCTAATTCTTAAAGCCAGGAGGTTTGCACTGGGTTTTATATTCCGCACAGATGGACCGTTTTCCGCTTCAAAACGAGTAAGCCAACATCAAAGGAACAAAGCCAACACTAATAATATATTATGAGATACATTTCAACTCCCAATTTGTTCAGCATGCTTGGATGAGTGTTTCGGTTTCAGCTGCTGCCCCCCCCCCCGCCGGCGTTCGGAGGAAAATGAAAAGAGAGAGGCAGAAACTGGTGGGTCGGGATAAGGGCAGTTTAACAGAACAGCAAACAGAGGGAAAACAGGAACAACAACGATACAAATAAGGAGAAAACACAACA